TTTCTGTTAACGTTTTTATTATTACATATGGCACCGAGAGCTTAGTAATGTGTAAACTGGCACATCCAAGCACAATACAGGTAAAGATAATCTGTACACAACAATAAACATTCATTATGACGTGTCCAAAAAACAACAATGTTCAAACACGGCAAAACGCAAAACATGTATGCAATGTTTCGCTGGTGCTTCTCTTGCATACAGCAGAAAGTCCGATAAATAGATTCAATGTACATTAAAAATACTGCATCATTTGTCCATCATGATGACTCATACTATACAGAAGCAAGAAGTCGGTATTGCTAAGAAACGTATTATACAATAAAATCTTCTACAATATTACATTATGTTACAGATGCATCTAATGCGTGCTGACTTAGCCATCTGAATATATTCAATATGTAAAATAGCTATATACATATATTCAATTATGACAAGATTTTACACTTAGACACTTGGGTATTCCGTCTCCCACATGTGAACATGTGAGGACTTTTCTATGCGTGAGTAAATCTATAAATGGCTATTTTGTGTTTGCGGGGGCTACGAATCTCAAGCAACGATGTATGATGCTGAAGACAATGCTTCACCAGGTACTTGTTTTCGTAGAATCGCGCAGAACACACACCGCACCCGTACTGTGGTCTCAGAAGGTAGAGCAAACCACGGTGTCTTGACCCGATGTGACCGCTCAGGGACTCGTTATCGCAGAATTTGACCCGGCACGTGTTGCAGCGGAACATGCGCAGCGGGGAGTACAACTTGAGGTGCGTGAAGGGGGACACGTCGGATCCGTGGTCTTCCTCTTTGTCCAACACAGCTGGGTGGTTCTCCTCCTGCTGCATCATCTCGGTGTTCCCTGGGCATGTGTGCGTGCCCGAAGGAGGGGGGAGGTCAGGCACCCGCGGCACAGCTACAGGCCTCGGCCGACGGTAAGTCCTTGTGGCAGCAGTTGGGACGACCTCGCCCGGGCCAGCCTGATGTCCGTCCGTGATCAGCTTCTTGGCTCCGTCAACGATCTTGCTTGCCCCTGAGACAAAGCTGCTAAGCTCCCGTTCTCCAATGTTCTCCTTGTCTCTCTTCTTGAAAGCCTTTCTTGAGCGTAGGCCTAGGCCCAAACGCCTCCTCTTCCTCTGCCCTCCAGCTTTCTCGTTGAGGTCCATGAAGTCCGCCGCGGAGAGGCTGTCGACGCGGATGGGGATAGTCCTCCTCGAACCGTCCTCACACACCTCTTGGCCTTGCATCTGCTGCATCTGTTGAAGCTGGTGGTGGTTCTGGTAATTCTGTTGCTGCTGCTGTTCGTTCGCGAGGCGCTCCGGGGTGCTCTGTTCTGGTGACTCGGGTATAAAGACCTCTTCACTGGTGACCGGGGGGACACTGAACCGCAACTCACGCTTTACACTGGGCTTTCGACTCAATCCACTCTGGTGTCGCAGAATACCTTTGCTTGTTGAAACGGGCAAATGCTTTTGATTTTCCTTTACATTTGCTTGCGCTGGTGCTGGCTGAGTTAGCTCCTTTGCTCCTGTTCCCTGGGGTCGCGGTGGTGGCGGCGGCATCGGGGACCTGAACTTGCCACGGTGGGACGACCACGTGGCGTCCAGATCCAAGGCCTCCATATTTCTGCCAGACGCCCCCGTGGCCAGCGACATCGTGCCCATCTTGTTACTCAGCCCGGGGGTGGAGGTCACGCCCGGGCGAAACGAGACGAGTTGAGACAAGTCCCCTGACGACAGACTGCGAAGGGACTCTGCTGACGCCCCGCTGGTCAGAGGCTTGAACTTGGCATTGACCATGCCCTCGAAGTCGGAGAGGTGCAGCTGCTGCATGTGGTACAGCAGCACCTGTTCGCCCGTTTTGCCATGTGGAACCTTCTTGGTGCAGAAAGGACACTGAATGCCGGCTGTGTCGGACATTATGCAGTTGTTCTTCTCCAAAATCTCAATGACCGACGCTCTGTGGAAGTCGATCAGATGCTTTGGCAGGACCGAGTTGTTGAAGAACCGCGCTTGGCATATGGGGCAGAACTGCAGCTGCACCTGGCCGGGGCGACTCTCCACCATGGTGTTGAGTTCCTCGCGATGGACCTTGTGGATGTGGCTGCCCAGACTCTTCTCGTAGCCGAAGTACCGCGGGCAGAAGGGGCAGAAGATATTCCGCGGCTGGTGGCCGGCGTACGTGGCCAGCTTGTTGGCGAGGTCGGCCAGGACGGAGCCGTTGAAGGGGCTGGGGACCTGGGGGCTCTTGATGTACGGCGAGCTCATCTCCACGTAGCCGGGGGAAGGGCGGTGCGAGGAGGGCGTCTGCGGCTCCTGGAACGAGCGCCTCAGTTCCTCGCACTCGCTGTCACTGAGCGAGTCCCTCTCCTCGCTCGACCCCGTCCAGATCTCGATGTAGCTGTGGTGGAGGCGGTGGGGCGCCCCGCCCCCGCCCCTCGGGGTGGAGGGCGCGCTGTTGCTGCCGCACGCGGAGGCGTTCAGTCTCTCCTTCTGCGGGGACA